TAAAATTGAGTATGGCCCATATTCTATGTAAAATAGATTTTTCACTTCTGTCAGAGAACAGGTCAAATGGCGATTTGATGGCTTTGACTGAAGCTCATGTCGTGGGAAGCCTTGAAGTTATCGGTAACAAGTCAGTGCTTCTCCAGAAGAAAAATAAGAACAAGACAGGTCTGATAGTTTGTGAGGCTGCGTAAGAATGCGTGTGTAAGGTAATTTTTGAGAAATACCTTTTTCTGTTTTATTAGGGAGTAGGATGGTATTTTTTCAGCTCTTTGTTAAAAACTCCCTACTCATGTGGTCTGTCTTGCCCTGTGTGGATCATAGTTTCCAGCTCAGCATCTCAACTGTTTAATTTTTTGTTCCATTTTTATCCCATTAAAGGGGGACAGAGCAGGTCTTACTTTAAGCACAGTAGTGTCAGCAATATTAAAAATTTCACTCTGAAACCGTACTGGTATGACTACTTTTAGCCACAGAAATTATTTTCTTGTATACAAATGTTTACATTTATAGTTCAGAAAAGGAACGTGCAACAGCCACAAATCAGTGAACAAAGGGCAGTGGAATTCACTTGTGACTTTACTGCAGGAGAACGTGTGACAGTTTTAGGAGTTAAACTACATTTTAGATTTTATAATACTGGTAAAATTTACAATCCAGGAGGTGCACTAAGCAAACCACGGACATGGTTTGAAATGCTGCAACCCACATACAGCTGGTGAAGCAACATGGATGATGACTGTTTAGCTCAAATCATCTCCTGGGCCTCACTGCACTGGAACGACAAGAAACCAGGGGTAACTTCTGGGAGAGGAAGGGTAGGTTGATGACTCTGTTGTGGCACCGAGCATCTGCCCAACTGTTTCTAGATCAGTAGTCAAAGCTTTCCTAAAGTCATGGAGGAAGTAATGCGCATGAGATAAAGCTCTTTCAGCCAGATCTAAAACACTTTAAAGGGAAAGCCTAGATTTAAAGATCTAACACTCAAGAGCAAGTCATTTTGCAAAGGTAAATTCAGAAGTCCAGGTTGAGAAAGTATTCTTAAACTCGAAGTCAGCAAAGCACGTATTTTAGTGAAAATGGCAGAAAAGGAAACTGATTAAATTTGTGCCTAGTGAGACACTCAGATGAAAATTTACTGTAGGCAAAAGATTTGATTGCAAACTAACGGCTGAATGCTGGAACTATACTACTGTTAAGTGTTAACATAACTTGATTTCTTTCCTTTGCTGGGGTGTAAGAAGTTGTTTGAGCCAACTCAAATGGTAAAAATGTTTATCTAGTTATCTATGTCAACTGGTACACAGGCTTCTGAGAGTCCAAGACATGAAAATGATTCCATGATTCTTCACCAATCCGTGCAGGCAATCCTCCCTGTCCTCTCCTAGTACATCTTCCTAGACGAGAGGAAGGTAAGTGCCAAGATTTGGGGAAAGGAGAACAAAGTCTTTTCAGAATTTAGGAAAATGTTGTAAACACAAGTTCAATTCATTGCAAGAGTGTCTTGGCTCATCTGTAAAAGTACGTGTATGAATGTGAATTCAGAGCAATTGCTAACCAGAGCAGTTTTTGTAGAGTTGGCAAAAAGCACTGACGGACAAACGGACATGACAATTTTCAAACTGTAATGTGAGGTACTTACATATATCTTGGTTGTACGAGTAAATCCTCTGACAACAGTGAGATTACTCACAAACAAAACTTGAAATCCAAACAGACTTTTATAAAAACATTTTTCTTTGGAAGGGAGCTGAATAGCTACTTGTAGATTTTCCATATAATGCATGTTTCAAATGCTCCTCATCAGACATCTAATTAACACACTTATATAAAATGAAGAGCACGAAGATATCCTTAACAGGAATTCTGTTGACCAGAAGCATTCCCCTTGCAGCATGTTCCCAGTTTTGACATTAGAAAAATGCTACATCCCAATACCTTATTGCTAATTCTGAGAGAAGTAGCTTGATATGAATTTTTAAAATCCTGTTTTAATTTAAATTTTAACCTTCTAACTTGTTTTACAATTTCAGTGTAAAACAGTGTGTCCAAAGTGCCAGAGAAGAATCAATATTCCGTATTATAAAGTTGCAGCAAAACCCCAAACTATCTTTGAAGTATTACAGTTCACACCTTGGGGTAAGGCCCCACACGGTGTGTTGCCATGTTACACAGAATTGTACTTGGCTGATTTAAGTTATCTTACTACGATATTAGCACAATGTAGTAGCAATGCAGTTTGGAGTAGTTACAGTAGCTGTTAAACACAGCAGAAGCTGTTAAACACAGCAGCAAACAGCAACAAATTAAATTAAATTTTTGCTAGAAGAGAGTTAGTCATGAGTTATACAACTCCTTTACAATAACCAAATGGACAGTCAGATGGACTTGATGCACAAACACAACGTCAACAAAACAGAATGGAAGAAAAGAAGTACCTCAATCCAAACTTGTGAAAAGGAGCTAAGTGACTTACCTTAAAGTCTAAGAAGTCTGTTGAAGAAAGAACAATGCTCGTGTTCTTAGTGTGTTCATTACAGAAGATTCCCTTTGTTAATAAGACACAGGCACTGTTTTGTTTCACGGGTTCAAGAAGAAAGGATGTGTTTGTGCTGTACTTTTCATCATCAAATGCTATTTCCAGAGCCATGCTGTTACTATGAAGTGACTTCATTAACAAATGAGGAAGCGATATTTCCTACCTCCATTAGAAACATGTGGGGAAAAAGAATGTTTGCCATATGGGAAAAAGGAGAAAAATGGGTGAGGAAGTAAGTGCTTAAGCTTCCTAGATATCACAGCAAAAAAGGCAAAGCTTAAATTGGCTTTACGTACATTATATTTATAGTTCTGAACATGTGTTCATGCATTTTACAGCTATTCAACAACGACATTTTGAAATTTTACTGTAATTGCAGAATTTCTCCTAGAAGCCAGAAAGGAAAATAATGTTTAAGTTTTTGGTGCAGTATGATACGGTTAGTTAAGTTTATTACATCTACATCTTAATTCCTTGCTGATTCTTGACCAATTATTGGAGTCTTTAGCAGTATGATGTACTTATAATTGTTGGGTCATATCCTGAAGTGCACTGGAGCAGCAGCTTAACAGATGGCATTGTGGAAGGCCTGTATTGATTAAACAACGCTTCCAGAGTATTTCCAAAATTCTCTTTCTGGAACATTAACCTTCGTTGATGTCTGACACCCGGTTCCAGGAGTTAATGGGTTATTACCAGAAGAGGCTGGCTTTGATCTCTGGGTCAACTGCAAAGCCAAAGTGGAAAAATGCATCTTTGCAACGTGCAAGGGCAGCTGATATGGCTACTGTGTAAGCAGTCCCACCTCTAATAGTCTCTCTTCTGTCGTGAATCCTTCTCCTTTCCTTTCTCCTTTCCAAACCCAGTTTCTTCTTGTGACTGACTGGGAACATGTCATAACTTTAGTCTCTTAAATAACATCGAGTCTGTTTTCCTCAAGATAACCAAACATTGCAAAAAGTAAACTGCATTGAATTACAAAGGAAATACTAACAAAAAAGATGACTTGTAACTTTTTTTCTGAGCCTTACAGCACCTGACAAGGTTAAAAAAAAGGGAAAAAACCTTTATACTTCACTTTTCAATATTACATTAATTGATTTATAAATTCTAAGGACTACCTACAGTTTGTCAAGTCATCTCAGTTTTGCTGGCACACGTTACAGATAATGATACTGACAGCTGCCATTTAAGGCACGGTTTTGATTCTCAGAGGAAGATTTAACCATTCTTGACATCAAGCAGGCATTATGTTCTCAGGTCACTGAGCAGCCTTTTTGGATATAGTAATAAAATAATAAGGTAAATTCGGGGCAGACACAAGACACAAACTTTAGATTATGGTCATAAAAGTGCAAGAGACTCAGCCAGAAAGTTTCAACATGTTAACCCCCCTTCCAGTTTGAAGTTGTTCCTGAAGGTGGTGTTAAGCCAGACATTTTTTGCTGAAACAGATGAAGTAGTATATAGGACTGTTCTACCTCAGCAAAAGACAAGTTACTAGGAACAGTCTAATGGGATTCTCTGTGCTTTTCTACCTAACCATGGTTCAGGACTACAAAAATCTTTTCTGTGAAGTATTTCAGAAGCTTAAAACAAAACATAGGTTTCAAAAACAGAGCTAATGCTTTTACTTATTTTTAACTAAGTTTTCACCCTCTACCTACTACTTAAAAGCCACAATCAACAAACAAATAATGGTAGCTTCAACAAAAATTTATGTATCTACTGCAGGCTTAATGTGGCATGTTAAGAGCCTGCCTGCAGCTGGAACTATTTCTTATTTATTCTAGGTTACAATATTCACTACTGGATTTAAGAATGCATCTTCCATGTATAGAGAAGCTCTAAAAAAACTTCATTGTTTTCCTCTTCAGTATAAAAATATAGCTTGCAGGCACCCAAACAAGACTCTCTGGGCCTGCCATAGGTAAAAATAAAAAAAACACCACTCTTGTACAGATAAAAAGAAAAGATGCTATGCATGTATTCAAGTCAATTGTTTAACAAACTTTCATTCATTCTGCACTATTCTAACAGGTGGATCCAGAAAGTACATTTGCATTTATTTAATCTTGATGTTTTATATGCTCCTTAGACTTAAATTGCCATGGAACAGACTTTTTACTATCATCTAGGTATGTCTAATTTTGTTCCAAATAAGATTTTTTTTTTAAATACAAAAGCAAATGATTACAGAATTATGTTTACGACTCAAGAGCTGGTTCAACAAATTAAACTTTCCAAAGACAATACATTTGTTTCCTGAGATGGCTAAAAGTCATGTTTCAACTTCGTGTTACACTACAATTAACAAAAAATACTATGCACAAAATCAGAGGTCAACAACAGCATACAAACACATTTACAGAAGTCACCTAACTTCACTAGTGCTATTTGTGTTAATGTGCACACCTTAACAGAAGTCCTAAAATAATTTTTATACATTACAAAACAAGAATTTACAAAACTTTATTTTATTTCCAAGTTACTTCATTCTAAAAATGTTGAAACATAAAAAAATACCATTTCCTAAAGGAGTTTACAATAAAAGGCTAACAATCTGGCATGGAAGAGGTAAATATATGGAAATCTTTTTTTAACAGTCACAAATCAGTCGCTGGTGATTAAAGAACACTTTGTTCTTCAAAGCTGGTAGGCACTTCCACGTAGCCAGAAATGTAAGTTTTCCTATCACTCCTTTTCCCTCCCATACATAAAAATACCCAATGCAATAAAAAGAAAGTAGGATAAAAGGGTGGACACGTGATCAAATAAAAGCATTATCTAAGGTCTTGGTTATTGTTCATCTTGTGTAAGTGTAAAGATTTTGTCCCACAGTTTTCCTGACAAGATGGCATTATTTGGCCTTTAAAAGTGTTAGCTGAAATACCTCCCTTTTTTACCAGTATATGTTGTTTGCTCACTGCTGTATTGTTGGTTTATGTCTGTAACAGAAACTGGCTCTAGGCCAGCCCATGGGTCCTCAAGCATTGAAGGTCTGTAATAGTTTTCCACATCATTAGACACTCTTTTCTCTCTGCCATGCGCTGTACCAAATGGAGTAGATGTCCTGGGTGATCCCTTTGGAAGAAAACCATCAGGTAAAGAAACATTTAATAGACTAATTCAAACTGAAATAGTAAAAAGTTTCCTTCTAATGTAGTAGAGCTTTGAAGCAATTATTAATGATAATTACTCCTCCTCACCTGCATCTTCCTCAGAAAATATTAACTTTATTATACTTTTAATTACAAGTGATGATTTACCTGGATAAGAAAAAAATTCAACCAGTCTTCTCCAAAATACCTGTTTGTGTCACTCTGGCACATAACTACAGAAAAGTTCCTCATGCTATTTTCCATAAGATGCCTAAGTCAATGATGTGTCTAACCCAAAAGCTGAACAACAAAATAGGGATTTAGAGGCTGTGGAAGAGCTGATAATGTTTACAAGAGAAGTCAGATATTAAGTACTTACAGATTGAACACAGCATTGTATAAAGCAAATGGCTAAAAATGACCCAAAGAATGTACTGGGAAAAACACATTTTTACCTAAACTAACGTTCTGTGAAATTTGAGAACAGATGACTTTATTTGATATACAATCTGGATGGTAATCAGTGATTAAACAGATATTACATAAAAGGAAAAACTTTTGCAGGGAGCTTTTGATATTTGTTTTTGGTTTTTTTTTAAATATCAAGGATCTCCACAATCGCTTCTGCAAACCCACTACAAGTCTGCGACTTAAATTGAGCTACAACATAAAGCAAATTGCTATGACCATCTTCTCCTGTTAGCATCATCTGTTGTTCTTTTCCTCAGATTCACTTCCCTATAAAGTAAGGTTTTGTCTAAAGCTATCTTAATTTAAATTTATTTGTTTTAACCAAAGTTAAACAACCTCTACTACAGACAGACAATAGTTTGTCTCCAAACATGCCTGTTGCATTCTGTATGATTAGAAGGACAGGACTCCTTGAGGCTGATTATCAGCCTCTGACTTTGTAAGGGAGATTAATGTACTGATTAAGGGCTGCCTTCTCCACTCCTCCCAACCTTCTGGACCAGCAGTGATGGTATTTGAATTTGACTAATAAGCCCTACAGAATCTATGCAAATACATCATATGAAACAATTTCTGGGTAAAACTGAAAAATGGTGCCACATAGTGAAGGCCTCTATGCTTAGCCAGAAGAAGAGATTCCACGGAAAACTGCTGAGTCTTGAACCTATTTCTGAAAGCGTGCCGCAGCAGGAGCCTGCTTGTGTGGTCCCAGTAAGTACTTTTCTATAACTTCTAAAGCTTGATAATAATGGATACAGAAACAAACATGGGAACACCCATGTCTTATTTACAGGGCATTTATTTCTAATGATTTGTCATAGGTTATGCAGCTAAGATGATCATCTCAAAACAGAAAAAATACTATAAGGTAGAGAATTACTTTACGAAGTATTGTATCAAAACCATGAAGGAAAGGTCAGAGAATCACCTCAGAATACAGCTAAAAACTTTCTAAGGGACAAGGAGTCTCCTAGAGCAAGTCAACATGCACTAGCAAGACTGACATTTATGTTCTTGAAGCACTCAGGTTTAGTAGTGAAGCAGTATTACTCAGTGTGTCCCATCTTCAAAATAATAAAAAAAATTAACTCTTTAAAGCACTGTGTTTAATGGAGACCCTGTAACTCTGACATTGTAAAACAGTTGGAGCATGGACTTTATTTAATGCTTTGTCTAATCTGCAGCACTCAGAAGAAAGCGGAACTGACATAATGATCTGCAGTATCCAGTGACAGAACAAAATAATTCAATGGTAAGACTCTTTCGGATGGATTTATTTTGTAATATTATATTTCACTGTGATATTAAGGCAGGCCATCAGTAACACCAATGTTTTTGCACATTTGAAACCTAGGAAATGTGTTCTTATGTAATACAAGATTGACTGCCTTCAATAAGTGTTAAAAAAACATCCTCGAAATGTTATTATTCATCTTATAGGCCTGTGGAAAAGGAAAATAGTCCTTCCTGTGCAAGTGAAACCATTCTGTGCAAGAGAAACTGTTTGGTGCCAAAAATACCTTAAAAAAACATTTATATTTTACTGTCACTGGTGCCAACAGCATTTTCTCAATGAACTTTCCTTAAAGAAACAGTCAATCTGTTGTCAATACTTTTTTCCCAGATGACAAATATCTCTCTACAATAGGAAAAAAAAAAAATCTTTCTGTGCTATCAACATGTTACTGAACATGGCAATACTGCCTTGAAAATGAGGACAATCACTCCCTGTATCAGCTTTCCTAACCTGGTGTAATTTTAGCTGCTGTGGCAGATGCACAGAAACAAGGAAATCATCATTATACCATTTCACAAGATATTTTTTTACTTTCTGTAGTAATTTTCAACCCATCACCACTAACTAGCTACTGCTACTAGCTAGTTCACTAACTCCTGTTGAGTGTAGAAAGGGAAACACTACTGCTAAGTGAATTCTACGAGGAGATATTCCAGAGATACAAACGTCTTCATAAAACTTTAGATGCATCTCTGGAAAAAATGGAAAGCTCTGTAAAGTATTGGCTGCATAAAGTTTAAGTCAGCCACTTTGGAAAAATCAAGCTCACTATGTTTATGTTTTCTGTTCATTTCAAAAAATGAAAGTCTGCAAGCACTGAATACTAGTAACATGTCATTATTAGAACACTAAAGTAAATATAAACTGTGTTTTGGATTTCCTGATGAGATTTTAAAGGGTCACTTAAGATTTTCATCTCAAAGGTGACAGTAGCATCATAAATTTCCAATGTACTGTCTTAAACAACAGCATGTACAGAAGAGAAGGCTAAAATCCACACACCTCAGAAGAAATTTGATGTTTAGAGCATGCAAAAAAATCTCTCTACCTGAATCTACTCATGGCCTCACGGACTGAGATTCTTGTTGCCCATGTCAAAGAAAATGGGGACTCTCGGTTTATAAGACTTCCCCATGATTGTCTCTACTGCCCTCCCAGGCAAAGCAATCCATGTGTACAACGTAAAAGTATACACATACGCATTACCTTAGTCCTAGGCAAAGCTACAGACATATGATGTCTAATTTTAGAGAGCATCACCATCAGGTCAGTGCTCCTGAACTACTCACCAGGTCTACAGATGGAAAGGAGAGGAGGGAAAAAGTTGTGACAATCTGTGACTGGATTCAAACTTGTACCTGCTTTATGTCAGGCTTGTTTCTTAACACCAAGGATGAAGCCTATGAGACTGCTCCTGCCCACAGGTCCTGACATGAAAGAGTGACTAAAACTAGAGGCAAAAGGATTTCTGCATCTTTTTCTGCTCAGTTAATTTCAGGCAGGCTTTTAAAAACCACTTAATTGAAAATCCAAAGAGTGATTTTCTGAAGGGGAATGTCTAGACATCGGTGGCATTAACCACCCCTCTAGAATCTGCAGCAGAAACCCCACATCCTTTGCCTTTTCAGCAGGTACAGAAGTTGAGCAATCTAATCTGTAGGCTTCCACAGTGGGAGAGCCTTTGCTGTTGCCTTGAAGAAAATGTGCAAAGTTCATAATGATCCGCTTCTATCAGCTACGAGATACCTGCAAGACAGTTAGCTGCAGTGTAAGAAAGGAATCAAAGATGATTTTTGAATCAAAATGCAGCTATGCAGTGCGGGCACATGAAGTTTTTACTAATCTCTATTAAGATTTGACTTCATTATTACGCTTTAATTCTCAAAGTGTCAGTAAGAGCACCTGAAACTTTTATCATTGTCTGTACTGCGTGTGTCATGTTACACTTTTAAGGTTTCCCTAATATTTTGCATAAAGCCAGCTATGTGCATAAGGTTGGTAACACCTCAAGAACTGTTGTCCCCATCTGCACTGTCAACCACATACTCCATCTAAACCACTTGAGAAAAGCACAACTCACAGGACCTGTTGTTGACAGCTCTGGGGAAAACGACTTTATGTCAATTAAAGTTTTTGGTGCAATGCAAAGACTTTAAAATGATACTCTGTTATACCAAGAGATGCTCTAATTTCTGCTTAAAGAAGCCTCAGTTTAATTCTCTCTAGCAGAGCGCTCCTCTTCTCCACTCGTGTCCCAGAAAGCTCTGTGCGTGGATGGGGCAGCTTCCATGATGTAAGGCAACGCAGGCGAAGGAAAAACACGCAGCACTTCACCATTACGTCAAAGAGAACTGATCGAAGGGCGGTACTTAAAGGGCAAGCGGTGTTTGCTGCAGTTTGGGGGATGCTTGCCTCTCCCTCTCCCTTCACACCCCAAAGTACGAAAAGGAAGCAGAGCTGCACCCTCCTGTGTCCCTGTGCCTTCCCGACGGGCCTCAGCAGGGCCCCCCTCCGCCTCCCTGACACACCGCTGCCTCGGCCGGGGTCCCGCCACCCTCCCTACCGGGGGAAAGACACGTGCATGTCTCACTCTTCCCCGGAAAATCGTGGTGGAGGAAATGGACGCTGCGGCTGCCAGCAGCCCTCCCGC